TATTCACATTTTATATATTTAAATAAAATTTTAAATTAAAAATTTTTTTAAAGGAAAAGATTGCAGCCGTTGGATTCAAAATCTGAATCCAATGGCTTCGAGAAGGTGGTAGGCATGTGCTAACATGCGTGGCACGCACCTGACGTTCATGTCGGACCGAGTAATCGCCAAAGAGGACAAAACGACGTCACATTGGCCCCTTGTGGGCAAAAAAAAACAATAAAGTTTTTTGACCGAGCTATCAGTTTTAGGTAAGGTGCCGTCTCTCTTTTGAAAAACGAAAAATAGAAAAGAATTTCATTTCACATGCACGTTGTTAGAGATAATCTTTCAAATTTCCTCAAAGACGGAAGATGGAATATTTATGCACTCACAAAATAAAAGGAGAAACAGGGGATTGCCGTAGGTAGTCATATGATACAAATCAAACACAAGAAATGGAGATCACCTCGACTTCCCTCGTCCTGCTTAGTTTCTTGTTGTCAGCAGCTTTGGTTCTAGCTCTGAAGCAAAAAAAGCATCACCGAAAGGGTCCCAAGCCCCCCGGCCCCCCGGGATGGCCAATCATCGGCAACATATTTGATCTAGGAACCATACCACACCAAACACTCTATGAGCTCAGACCAAAGTACGGACCTGTGCTTTGGTTAAAGCTCGGATCAGTCAACACTCTGGTGATCCAGTCGGCCGAGGCCGCTGCCGAGCTCTTCAAGAATCATGACCAGGTTTCCTGTGACCGCAAAAGTCGCGACGCGTTTACGGCTCATGACTACAACCAGGGGTCACTTGTAGTTGGTAGATATGGCCCATACTGCCGCATGCTCCGCCGCTTTTACATGACAGAGCTCATGTCAAACAAACGGGTGAACGAAACGGCTCAGATTAGGCGGAAGTGCATCCACGACATGATACAATACATAGAGAAGGATGCAGCGGCGGCACGTGCAAAAGGAGAAGCAGGGGAGCTGGATTTGTCCCACTTTCTCTTTATTATGGTTTTTAATCTCATGGGCAACCTGGTGCTGTCACGGGATCTTGTAGATTCCAAATCGAAGGAAGGGAGGGAGTTCCGTGAAGCCATGGATAAGTTCATGAAATGGGGTGGAATGCCAAACGTTGTTGATTTCTTTCCAGTCCTGAAATGGTGGGATCCTCAAGGGATCAAGAGAAACATGAAGCGAGACATGGGACAAGTCATGGAAATAATAGCTGGGTTCCTGAAGGAGAGGATCGACGAGAAGAGAATGGAGAAGGAGAATCAAACAAAGGACTTCCTAGACGTTGTATTGGAGCATCAGGATGAGCTAACCCAGCATAATGTCATCATTTTTATACTGGTAAGATAATTAATATTAATTGATCCAGAATGTGAAAAACCAATTGGTTACACTTTCTCACTTAATACAGATGTATATAAATTCTTCTTATCTTACCACAAAATATGCAATTTTCACTTTTATTAGGAAAGATAGTGATTAACTATTGTAAGGATTTACACAATTCTTGACTCTAAATTGAATCGAGATTTTTGAAGTTCAAAAATAATTTTTATAATCAAACCACAAACTGCAAAGTCTAGGCCATTAGATGAGTGGGACGTCATTCTCTTTAAAGTTAGTTGGTGGTGCTAATTTGCCCAACTCTTGCAGAGTTAGTAGTTACCAAATGCAATTTGTGTAGGAAATATTTCTTGCAGGGTCTGAAACAAGCAGCAACACCTTAGAGTGGGCAATGGCAGAGCTGCTCCGCAACCCAGAAAGTATGAGAAAAGTTAAAGAAGAGCTGAATCGAGTTTTTGGGCCGAACAAGGAAGTTGAAGAGAGTGATATAGAGGAACTTCCATATATGCAAGCAGTGGTTAAGGAAACACTGAGGTTACATCCACCAGGTCCCTTTCTTATTCCTCGGAATGCCATGGAAGATACCAATTTCATGGGTTATGTCATACCTAAAGATACACAAATTTTGGTGAATGCCTGGGCAATTGGAAGAGATCCAGAAGCTTGGGAGGATCCCTTAATGTTCGAGCCCGAGAGATTTTTAGGCTCAAAAATTGACTACAAAGGACAGAATTTCGAGTTAATCCCTTTTGGATCGGGCAGACGAATTTGTGTTGGCATGTTGTTGGCTCACAGGTTGCTTCATCTTGGTCTAGCTTCTCTGCTGCACTACTTCGATTGGGAGCTTCCGATTAACACAACTCCAGCAGATGTGGACATGACTGAGAGAAACGGAATTGCAGTGCGAAAGCTCGTACCATTGAAAGCCATTCCAAATAGGAAGGAATTATAGAGAATATTTAAACCATGATCTTAATATTAGAATCAAGATGATCAAGGAAAAAATAATGTATAAGATTGTGCAAATAAGGGGTCTTTAATTGGCTTTTGTCTGGGGTTTACATGGGATAGCAAACCAACTCAAATCATCAACCATAAACAAATAAAAGAATCTATTAATCATATAACAGAATAATTATTGAAAAAAAAATTCTTATTTTATAATTTAAATGGTAAAATAAATCATAATATTAAAAAATTTCATTTTTATTCAATAATTAATATTGTATAATTCAACACTTTTTTCATTCAAAATATTTGTTTTATATATATACATATAAAACTTGCTAGAACGCTTAAGCACTGCCTCAAACAATTGAAAGAATGATTCATCAAAAGCTCTTCTCCTAGAAGAGTGTGGCAAAGAGTCATTATCATCAGAAGGATAAACAGAAGAATGCATTAAAAAAATATTTTTG